TCTCCATCCACACAATAGCTCTGTGATTGCCAACCATTTCCCCGCAGCCGTACTCACTCCGCTCTTCAAACCTGACATATCTGCCATTTTCCAGCGTTTAATTTCTCTATTTACACGTGCAATCAGGGCTGGAGAGGGGAGGGGGAAAGAACATTTCAAGCCCAGCTCGGGAAGTCACATCATGGGTCGACCTCGAGAGCTAAAACACAAAATTGCAAATAAAATAAGTGGCAAAGCTGGCGGTGATCGCTGGAGTTTGCTTTTCCCATCTTGCTGTTGCTGACATTTGGAAATAGCAGTATAGACATAAATATACATTTCGATATTTATAACTATTTATATGTATATTTATGTTGGTTATATATTTTTTAAATATATATATATAACACCTGCAAAAGAGCTGCTGCAGCAGACGATCTCTCATTGCCACAAGGCAAAGGTTAAATCCTGCTTTGGGTGACAAATTTTGGCAAACCCAACGCAGGAAAGGAGGAACCCAAATGGAAGAGAAAATTGGGAAAGTTGGATTTCTTGGCCTACCTGGACCCTCATCTCTCTCCTGTTCTGTATAAAACAAATGCAACTCTATCAAAATTGCCTCTGAAAATCCAGGGCTTTACAGACTTTTTGGAAGCTAAAACATCCATGGGATGAGCACACGCGTCCCAAGCCCCCAGGTGGGAGATGCTGAATAAGATGTGATACATTTCTAGCAAAAACAGCTCCAAAAAAATGAAGAGGAGCCAGTTTGGGTATATTCAAGAGCAAAACCCGATTGCTGGAGCAGCCTGTCCCATTGCAATTCCAGATCCTAAACCAAACCATCCCAGCTCCCCCAGCCATGTAACCGAGCGAGAAAAATATTGATTTTTACAGTCTATTCACTAAATCACCCTGAAGTCCCCAAAAGCAAAGGCAAGCCATCTTCATCAGACAATCTGCAGTTCTTCCAGCCTTGCAAATGTTAACAGTGACAGAAAAAAATGAATTTCCGAGCAGAAACTCTTATGTTTATTCTTAAATCTATTAAATACGAGTCTTCATAACACCGATTACGTACGCCAGCAGCTAAAATCCCCAGGTCTTGCCTTTAATTTTTCTAATAAACTTGAGGATTGCAAACAGACGGCGACTTTATTGAATAGACTTTGCTTGGGTTATTAGAGAAGTCATTAAAGACGTGATAATCTGGCTTACACAGGGGTACGAGTCGTGTGGTTGTGCATGACAATTACAGGTGATGACTGGAGAGAATAAGATTGATAAGGAAAAGATTAAAACCAAAAGGTAATTTGTGATACCTTGCAGGGGGGATATTGGAATAATATATCAAGTAACAGACTTAGGAGCTGGGTGGCTTTCGTAACTGTTTTGCCTAAGAGAAATGTTGGTCGATTTTTGTCCAGGGGGCTAAGGAAAATAAAAATCCATCCATCAGCAGCGACTGAGATGGATGAGGATTTAACAAGTACACACACAGGTACCCACCCACACCTACAGCCACCGCATTTTATGTTAAAAAGAAAACCAAAAAGGTTATTAATGTCAAGTGCTATCTGATGAATTTTTTGTAAGGCGTTGAAATGTTTTCTCCGAAATAGAGAGGAATTAATTCCTGCTCTCCAGATTAACAAGACATATTTTTAGATGAAGAGACAATTCAATTGTTATTAGTGATTTGAAGTTGTGGTTTTGTGCTCATCAACTCGGGCTCCCTGAAAACGCATGTGCAGGCATTGGAGCAGCTGCAGTACATCTGCACGCACAAGTTCCCAAGAGCCCAAAGGGATCCTTGCATCGACTTTCCATCAGCATCAATACGTGCGTTTTTACGCTGTCTCATGATACCATCTCCAGGGTCTGTCCTGAGCCCGTTTTTGGGGCTCACAGGGCAGAGGTCCCTCCTTCGTGCTCCCTGCGCCATCAGATTCTCCCTCAGGGTGAACAGATTACAAAACTCACGAACCAATAATGTCTTTTCAAGAGTTTATCTGGTAAAATTCAGCAGAAAACCAGTGTGAAAGAACTTCTACAAATGAAAGCAAGCCCCAGTCTCCCATGCCTCGAGAGGCCGCTGCATGAGAGAGGACGTCCCGCAGTGAAACCCGCTATGAACTCCTGGTATAAGCACCCACTTTTGGGTGATGAAGGGAAATGCTAATGCATTTCGCAGACAGTTCCACCATAAACACAACGAAGAAGTCCAGGCTCGGCCGCACGGTTTTGCCAATATAACCATTAGTGGGCAAGAGCACAAGCAAGTAATCAAGTAATTACATCAAGTAATTCAGCGCCATAAAGCCATCCCAGCAGCAATGGTCTTTCCAGTGCAGCCCAGTCCCACTGGGGAACTGTTTTAAGCTACTGGGATAAAGCACTTCTGCTGGGATAAGCTGCATCTCCACCAGGAAATACCAATCCAAGGTTGCTCCCGTACAGACCTGCAACCCCTCTGAGTGGGCAAGTCCTCCGTGGCTCATCCAAGGCGGCAGAGCAAGCCAGAGGCGGACATGCAAACCCACGCTCGTGGCCCGGGCTCTTAGAGACGCTCTTTAAGGGCATTTTTTGCCTGCTATGGGCTTGTAATGCTATTTCCTACAAGACGAGGTGGCATTGCAGTTTCTGCCTCCATGCAGACCACAAATACCTCCTGTATTTGTGCGACTGCGCAATGCGTGCGCAAGGAACACCCTTATTTATCTCGTCATCGAGAGCATTTCCAAAACGCTTCAATGCTGTCGTGCTCTCCTCCTCGTGCTGATGCCCATCGAGCTGAATATATCCATGGGGGAAACAGCATTTCAGCTCCAAGACCAGGAATTAGGCTGGTCAGAAATATCACTTCATTTATCTGCTCCCGTAAAATAGATCATTAATGTAGCATTGGGCCAGTTGTGCTGCTCCGCAGCCAAATCAAGGCAGGCAAGGAGTCTTGAGTAACCCCCAAAAACCCACCACCCAGAAATACAATGTCTTTTAACACACAAAACAAACATCCCCTTTCTTACATCCTAGCCAAAAGGGATGCAAAGGTTATTGTGCATGATGACTTGCATGGGTATTGCTTTATTTATTCCACATGGCAGGCGTGAAGCTGCTTATATCCACAGGGAGAAAAAGCCAACCCAAATGGGCAGGATTATTTATTTTTCTCAGCTGTGCTCATTGCAGAATTGATTTGGCCGACAACCTGTGCAGTACAGTTAATGAGCTTGGGTTTCTGTTGCCCTGGGTCGCCAAGGATGAGATTTCCTACCCTCTGATGTGTCAAGTTTTTGCCTCCAAATTCGGTCTGGGTTGTGAAAACAGAGTATTAGCCATGATTCATGAGTATTAGCACAGAAAGAAAAATATTATCGTAAATTTGAAGTACTTATCCTTCTTTGGAATAAGCCGAGATAGAGTCAACACAATACTGTAGAGCTTTGAAAGCAGACAAACGAAAAAGAAGATGAAATACTCTCCACAAGCAACATAACTTCAACTTTGGCAGAAAAATATTTTCTAGGTTTAGATCGTAAAGAAATACAGAGCTTTCCCAGTTGCTTTGATGGACAGGGAAAAGAAGGTTGTATGTTAGAGGCATAACTGAGTCCAGGCAAAAGCCCAGTGTTATAACTTAGCATCCAAACAGAACGAAAAAAGTCGGTTGATAAGGAATGAATTAAAAATTAATTTGTAAGCAAGGAAGCTATCAGGGCTATTTAAACACCATAAGCATCACCTGGATGGGATGTCTCTGGCCGCTCACTGAGAGACTCCTCTGAGCACCCGGGGTTAGGAGGCAGCTCTCGGACAGAGCAGACGGTAGCTCACTGCGATAGAGATCTGATGGGAAACCTCCTCTTCTGCTCGCTCGCTGCACAGCTTTGAGCCCAGCCACCTAAGTGCTACGCAGACAACCACCTATCGCAGGTGGCTCAAAGCCGGACGTACCGAAAAGCAACGGTAATTCTGCTCATGCAGAAGCAAAGACAATATTGGTTTTCCAATTTGGGCTCCCATCTGTATTAATTGGAAATGCAAATGCTGAGCAATTTTTAAAAGCAATATTGCAAGCCAGTATAAGTGAGTGCTAGCTACCCAGAGCGTTTGATTTTAATAAACCATTCAACCCAAACCAGTGGGAGAGGAAGGTGTTATGCAAACCGTTAGCATGCAAGGCACACACGCGCCAGCAGGAAAGCTCCATGGACCAGCACGGATTATTCATCCAAAAGCAACTTCTTCACCAAGGGAGTGCCGGACGCAGCCGAAGAGCCAACAGAGCTGTCACGGAGCTCATCGATGCATGTTGGCCCTGGCCGAGCGTGATGGAGGAGCTTCGCTCCCATCTGAACAGAGGGAATGGTTTTTAATTCAGTTTATAGGTGCCTGCAGCCTCCTGCTCCTCGCTGGAGGCAGAGGTGTTACCCCAGCACAAGGGCAGGCGATGGGCTGCAGGGAGGACAAGCGGTCGGATGCACAACACACCAACAAAATCCCTGGAAAGCAGGTTAGGAGTGAACAGCTTTGCCCTAGCGTCCTGGATCTCTTCCAGTGTGGACTTCAAAGGCAATTTTTCTCTCTACTAAGAACCCCCTTGCAAAAGGAAACGAAGATATTTTCTATCGGCATCGTCACAGCTAAAATAAACTTAAATGGTGGAGAATTTGCTCCAGCAGAGATAGGATCTCAGCCCCAAACAGAACTCCCTTGTTACCTCAGTAGGAAGGCAGCAGTGCTTCCCACAGATGTTGAGAGGCATTCAGCCGTGGATAACAGGGAAATTAGGGTGCCAGCTCCGCAATTTAAATATATCCTCTCCCTGTTACCCCTCCTCTGGCTTCACAGCAGAGCCAAAACCACCGAGCAGTCCCATCATGCAAGCATTTAAATCTGGGAGGGGCACACGGTTGCTGTAAGTCGTGGTGGTGATTCATTGGGATACATTAATTTTCCTCCTTGAGATCACCCAGACCATCCCGAGGGCTGCACAGAGAGCACGGTAACAGCCTTACCGTCTTCAGCAGCGTCCGGTTGTCCCTGAGGCTCCCCACCATGCCGACAAAGGAGACGCCAAACATGGTGAAGCCCAGCAGGAGGAGGATGATGGCCGGAGCCAGGAAGATTCCTTCCAAGGTTTTGTGCTTTTGCCTCTCTACTTCGGCGTAAATCCCGACGCACAAGATCACGAGGCCGAGGATCTGCAAGGGAAGCATGGGATGGGATTCAGATGCCAACAGGGAAAAAGCAAAGGCTTTGAGGGAGAAGTGGAAGATGTCCCAGCTGGCCAAGGAAAACCTACCCAACCCCAGGACATTTAACATCCAATCCCAAGCGGTGCCATCAGCACTCGGCGCATCCCCTTTGCTCGAGACCGGGCTGCCCTTCCTCTGGCTGCGAAGGGGACGTATCATCGCAGCGTGATCAGTCTAGCTGGACAGCTTTAAGCTAGGTTTTGCTAGTTTTTTCCTCTCCCCTTCCTGCCCATATCTTTACGGTCCATCCGGATGCTCGGTTTGGCCCTCACCTTGGGTTTGACAGACCCAGAGGCTGACAGTCATTAACACCAACAGCCCACCCTCCCACCCGGAGGAGCACAACCCCCAGAGCGACTCGTTTCGCTCCATCATTTTTACACCCGGCTTGAGCACCGACTTACACCCAAACCCACGGCGAGCCGCTCGTCCTCTCTTCCCATGCCAGCATCAACAATTAGAAACAAAGCTAACTGCACCGTTGCAAAGAGCCTTTGATCCCTGGATGAAGAGTGCCATAAAGAAAAGCAACAGATTATTTATGACAACCTTCCTCGCCTGTCTTCCCCTTCGGTGAAACAGCTCTAATTGAAAAAGAGAGCCTAACGATGCCGGGATAAAGCAGGGCTCCAAAAAGGGCTGGTTGCATCCCTTCGGCTCCTTCAACATCAAAGCCAGCAACGCAATCCCAAGTGTTTTGTGCTGTCAGGAGCCGTTCGCATCGTGCCCGCTGGCCCCGCGGTGCAGCCGGAGGCAAGCGGCTTCTCAGCCGGCGCCACGCTGACACCTGAAAAGGTCAGCAAGGAAACGGAGGAGCATTCGGAGCCCTTTTCACGTTGCTTTTTGCTGCCCTCCCCACCCCGAATCACAGCGGGAGCTCCAGGGGCAAAGCCCCTGGCCACAGACACCCGCGCTCAAAAACCTACATCTCTAAAGAGAAGATAAAACTCCTTTTTTTTTTCTCCTTTTCCACCACGTTCACCTTTCCAAAAGGCTTCGTTGCTCCTAATGAGTTTGCTCAAACAATTCCTTCAAATTCATACTGACAGTTCGATCCTTAATTTTTATGCATAATCTTGGCTTTATAGGGAGTTGGTTTTTTTCTTCTCTACTCCGCCTGGACATGATTTCTGGTGTGTTTTTGTAGCTAGTTTATGTCTATCAATCACTGTCCGCTTCCAGGCTCCATCTCATCTATAAAGGAACTGAAATCGCTCGGAAAGTGAAATTTAGACTCGTGATATTTTAGGGACACTTTAGTTATTGGAATCTAAACAGGCAGGCCGATTTCTGATAACAGGCATTTAATCACCGTTTCATCTTTATACTCTATTTTAAGCGTCAGGTTGGTGCGTTGGGATTGGGTTTGATTTAATGTTTCCCTCTTAACACGGTGTCCCAGGAAATACATTTGGCTTTGAAGGTGGGGGGGTCGACATTAACGCACACCATGCTAATCCCGGTCAGAAACACTTTCTCCCTTTTAATTAATCCATCTGCGATGCAAGTGAGGGAAGAGATCATGGAAAAAGCACAGAGCAAACCTGGGAGGGGGTTCGAGGGCTGGATGCTCGAGGGGCTGGGGAAGCTGCGTGCGTGGGACGGGTTAGCAAGGGAGAGAAACCAAGGATGGTTTGCAGGATGGACACGTGCATTGCTTAAAAATAACTTTATCAGGGCTGAAGAGTAACCCAAGCCATGCTGCATGGCTTTTTTGGGGGTTCATGGCTTAGAAAAGGTTGCGTGCTACATATGCCCAAGCAACTCAAACTAGTCCCTGGGACTAACAAGCAAATTTTGAGCTGATCCACCTGAATTTCTTGGTGCTCTCCTTGCTCAGCTGCTAGTTTAAAAGATCACCCAGCCCCTTGCAACCTGCTCTGCTGAGGATTAGTGCTGCAGGCTGGACCCCAGCCCATCTCCACATGCCGCCAGCCAAAAAGCACCCTCCGGTTAAAAAATGACTTGCTTCTACTCAAAGCAGCGTAAAGCACAAGAAAGCATCTCACAAAGCAACACGCACCTCGAGGAAGGGAATGGATATACTGGCACACCTCCCAGCAGAGGCAGATTGCAAAGGAGGGCTCGTGGCAGAGAGATTTGGATGGAAAATAGCTGGGAGAAAGACCAGCGTTCCCTGAAAAGCGACGTTTCTCTGAAAAAATGGTGGATGTGGAGCAAACCGGTGACGTCGAAGTCTTTGCCAGGACCTATGCAGCACCGTGAAAAACTGCAAGGGGAATAACCACGTATTTCATCAAAAACCTGATCATCCCGTCCCCCTCCAGCCGGAGAGGAGCATCAAAAGCAGGAGGAAAAGTTGGCATCAGCCCTTGCAAAGCCTGGCTGCCCTGGTTTCCATCACTGGGGGGGTTGTTTTTGCCATACAAATTCAATCAGCACAGATATTTTTGATTCCTGGCGTCACAACCCTTTTCCACCTCCCACGCTCGACGACATGGTAAGGCACATAATGAAGTTTGCTGGTAAATCCTCTGTAGTTACATATTAATTGCCCGGTGATCACCTTAATACGGTGCAAACACCGGGATAGACAGCAGCCGGTAATTACAACCGTTCTGCAATTCCTCTAAGAGAAAAAACAAATCTGCACTTACCCTCTAATGAGAGGATGATTACCCCATTTCTATATGGTAATAACGACACAATCGAACCATCGCCGCGGGGAAAGCCAAGGGGGTGGCTGCAACTCCACCAGACCTTGCGATGAAGGCGTCCTGCCTCACTTCTCCTCTTACAAGCTGGGAAGAAATTACCTTCAGGTTTTAATTTCAGTCCTGCTTGATTTTAGTGCTTCTTGGAGCTGAGTGGGCAGGGGGTGGAGGGCAGCGAGCGGCCGCCCCAGGATGTCCGACCTCCGTTCCCACCCCAAAAAGGACCCCCGCGACTCGCTCTCCTCCCTCCCATACTCCTGGATGGATAAAATTGCAAAGTTGAATTTCACAGCCCGATACAAGTTGCTATGACCAACCCTTCCCCACCTTTGCAGCCCATTTCCAAAGCTGTTTCGCTCCACCTCATCTCTTAGTGGGGTAACAGAGATGCTGGTTTTCCTCTCCAGGCAAAGGCAAGGAAAAATCTGCCATGGGAGGTTGGAGACCTGGGAAGGAGAAGAGCTAAATGTGGAAATCCCTGGAGGAAATTCCTGTCCCACTGATCACAGAGTCATATGGAGACCTGGAGGTCAAGAAAAGGGATGAAAGGCAATTCATGCACAGAAAATAATATAATACACAGCTCTGATGATGCTGGCAGGGTTTGGGGCTGCCGAACGGGTGGCCTGAGCTCGCAGCTAACCCGCGGGTGAGCTTGCAAAGCTCTCTTCAAGCCATGGGCTCTCTGGTGCTTGTCGTTGCTTCTCCATCCTTGCATGACTTGGCTTTGGCACAGAGGCAGCTACCTGACGCTACCAAGAGACGTGCATAATCCTACTAGTACTAACGAGGCACGCACAGTCCTACCCTGTCCTAAAAAACCCACCGAATACCTAAGAGATGCCACATTCCCCTTGTCCCAAGACCCAAGAGACCTGAGTAACAGGAGTTACTCGCAGCCACACGCAGAGCAAATGGGTACCACGAACCCAAGGGGACATTAACACGGCCGAAGCAGCGCAACCTCAGAGCTTGCCAAGGGCCAAGCGGCAGACGTGGCTCATTCCGGCATTAATTGGATGAGTCAATGCCGTGCTAACGCAAGGCAGTAATTTCTCCTTCTTCAGAAACACCAAAAAGTCACGACGACGGTAGCTTCAAGCCCACGCAGACCCCAGCAGCCAGATTACGTGACTCAGAGCACTGGTCCGGGGAGGAGCAAAGGGAACGGGGCATCACTTCATCCTCCATCCAAGATGGCCAGAGGTGTAAAACTAAGGGCAAAACTCCCAAATCTTGTTTTTCAAATCTCCAGCTCACAGCAGAATCGTTCTTCCCAGCTTTTGAAGGCTCATCTACCTTCAAATTAGCAGACAGGGCACTCCTGTTCCTCCTCAGAAGGTTTTATTGTAAAGTGCAGGTGAGAAACCGCAATATAGAAAGCACTGAATGCTTTTAGCCATTAAAAGATAGACTCATGGGATTAATAATACAGCGATTAAATACATCATATAAAGTTTAACTGCCAACGGTATGTAGGCTTGTAAAAAAATACGCTTTTATAGGGGTCAATTAAAATAGTAATTTTCAGGTTTATGGGAAAAATAAGAAAATTAAAGAAGTGTTTCTTTTTGAAAAGAAAACTTCAAATCTATGTTCCGTTGAATCCTCAACAATGAGGATTAAATCTACCTGTATAAAACCAGCCAGTCCAACCTACGATGCTGGAACCTCTCTGCCCTTTGCTCCATGTTTGGTTTACAGCCACTCTCTGGCTTATCCCACGCTCCTCTACTGATTTTCCCACCTATAAATAAGCATTTTAATTAGAGAAAAGCACTGGAAAGGATCTAGTGGCACTAGCTCCAATTTTCTGCAGGCTGGGACAACCCTATGCTAGAAAACCATGACGCATCTCACCCCAAACCTCGTTGATCCTTCATGGCAAACCAAGTCAAGTCTTATCCCACTGAATTTTTACTCAGGGGGGTTACAGTTTCAAAGCCTTTATGCAACGCAAGCGAGAACTTCCTACACAATCATTTTTTATCGAGCGCATTTGGCCAGAGAGAAACCCAGCCCCGGTCACGTCTGGTTAACGAGGCTTTGAAGGGTTCGTCAGCGCCGTTGAATTAATATGGCGGCGACATGTGCAAATGAGGCCAGAAGTAGGTCAAGCGGCTGAAAAGCTCGCAGGAGCTGCGCGATCCGCACGGATTCTGTGGGGCCACGTCCCCGCATGAGGACCGTCCCAGGGTGGAAGGCGAGCTGGGACGGAGCAATTCAAAGTGGCTTTTTTGCAGTTATTTTCCAGTCACTGGGAAATTCTTGAGTCTCTCCTTGCTGTGGACTCGCCAGGATGCCTCACTGAGCCCCCCAGAATGCCCCAGCAATTAATAAATAACTGGCATCGAGATTGTGCTGGTTCATCCCATCATTAATCTACGTTTGCAAAGCGCAGCCCCGACCCGAGTTCAGATTAGTCGGGAGAAAGTAAAACACACCGCCTCCCCAGCCCTTCAGCCGCTTAAAGGCATTGGGGAAACCTCAAACCAAGCAAAACTCAGCTCGTTAGACAAATCAAACCCACGGTGACAGGTTTTCCCGCAGATTAATTTTGCAAGCAAAAATATTGCACTATCCTTACACGAAAACTCAAACCACAGCCTCAAACGGGTTAAGAAATCTGGATTTTTTTTGGTCTTGCTGGGTACACAAAGGTCCCGGCCACCCCATAGGAGATACTCGAGTCTCCTCTCCCCTCAGGAGCCTTCCCTACCCAGCAGGGCATGAGGAAATCCGTGAGATATACTACAAAAAAAGCCCTTTTTTTCTTATTCTCATTCATGCGCTAGAGTGGGAACAAGTCATTCGTCGCAGCGAGACAACGGGCTTTGCCATCCCCAGCTAGCGAGGGCGAGCGCTGCCCTCCCAATGAGCTCATTCATTTAAAAAAAAGAAAAAAAAAAAGGAAATAAAAAGCATTTTCAAACCCTGCTTGTAACCCCGTTTACCGTTCACAGCCCGCCTGGGAGCTTACGCAGATATTTCTGTAATTACACCTATATAATTAGATACGCATACCACTACACACACCCAGCAGGCAGCCGTGCACGGGGCAAAGAGGATTATTTAAACCTCAGGAGGAAATATCTGCAAATATGGACTGGATTATGCAAGATTAACCCCAGGAAGTCGATAACTTCATATCTCATGCATTAACTGAGGACCCACAGACCCTACAGGGATGGGGAATTTCTTGCTTTCCCGTCCCCTGCTCCTGACACGTGCTTGCACCTCCCAGGTGCCGGGGAAGCTTCGCCTCGACCGTAGCTCAATGATTCAAAACCGCTTAAAATCAAGTTTTATTTTTTCCTCTTAAAATAAGCAACCTGGCTAAAATACCCGCCACTCGACGTCTGCTTTCCTGCCTCGGCCCTAGCGAGCAACGTAAAGGCAACGGCCGAGACAGGCAGCGGGGATCTGGCTGGCCACGCCGCCCGACGGGTGCTTGTGCGGTAAAAACATTAAATATCCACGTTTACGCTCCAAACGCCTCGAAACGCAACTCGCTGCCACGAGGGATTTGCAAGAGCGGCTCTGGGGATGGGCAGTTCCAGGGAAGTGTTCTTAAATCCACCGAAACCCACAGTTTTTCCCAAGATTGTCCATTTTGGACCCAGCTAAAGCCAAGCACGAGAGGCTTTGCTGCACCAGATTTTATTGCAAGGGTTTGATGCCTTGGAAGGGGCAGTTTTGACGCTGAAAAGTAAAATCCAACCCACAGGGGTGGGATGGTGGGGGGAAATGCCAGGAAGAACAGAAAAGCAACCGGAGCACCTACCGAGAAGAGGGTGGCATAGGTGGACAGAGCAAATTTGATGCTGTAGTAATAGAGGTGGGAATTTCGGCACTCGGAGGCTTGAGCCATCCTTGCAGCTCCGGTGAGAGGGGTTTGCTCGCCGCTCGCCGGACCCTCCCCGCTCCGGCCGGCTCCTGCCCTCCGCCGCCAAGCCGAAAAAGCGTACACAGGCACACAAGCAAGCCTTGAACTTGAACTGCTCGCTCCAACTTCCGCCTGGCAGGAGCAGAGAGCAATTAGAGGGAAGGCAGCAGCGGCACAAGCGGCCGGCGTTAACCCTTTACTGAGTTTGTTGCTTGGTGTTGCTGCTGAGAGCAACGGCAAAGCTCTGTTTTAAGTGGATTTACTCCAACAACTATTCCAAAAATTGGCGCACGGGTAGATCAGTAGCAAATTTTTAACAGCAAACGTGGTGCATTGGGGGTCTGCCACCCTCGCTGGCGTGCCGAAAGAGCCCGTTGCAATCCTGCAGCCGTCCCGGGAGCTCTCCTGCAGCAGCAAAGGGTAAAGTGGCAGCCCAAAATCTAGCAAGAAGAGGGACAGGTGCCCTCCGGCATCGCTCGGAGCCCAGGACCGGAGCGCGATGTCCGGGTTTACCTGTCGTAGCTTGCTACTGCGAGCAACACCTCCCTTTCAACACCACCCCGAGCTGCCCGGCGCTCGCGTGAATAGGAAGAAGGAAAGAGAAATTATTCTACCCAGCCTCGCTGAGGTTTAACGCTTGAAAGAAAAGGTGTGGGGAGCAAGAAACCGGCACCGGGAGACCGCACGGCTCCTGGAAGGGTTTGTACGGCCGTGCGAGCGGAGGACTAGAGAGCGTAAAATTGGTGTTTAATAAAGAGAGCAAAAAGAGCAACTGGGAAAAGCTGCGCCTGCAGCCGGTCTCCGACGATGCAGAGGAGCACCCAGCAAAGAGGAGCACCCTTCATTTCTGGAGCTTGACTCATCACGGATCAGAGAGGGGAAGAAAAAGGGGCATCGTCTGCGATGCGGCTCGTGGCCTGGGAAATCTTAAAGATTTAAAAAAAAAAAAACAAAAACCTCAGCTCCTGGGAGGAAGACACTTCTTCTCTCTGGGGAAGCCAAATGGAGAATTTAAAGCAAGGTTTGAAGAAATAACAGCGACTCAGGGTTGCACCCAAAGACACGGGAGCTGTATTTACCCAGCTCTTAGCAGACGTAGAGTAACTCAGCACAGCAGAAGAGATCATATCCCCTTTCCTACGTAAGCTGCAAGGGCGAGAGCAGAGGTGGGATGAGAATTATACGATCATCGAAGGCCAGCGGATCCCAAACGCTGAGGATATTACACTTCAGGATACGATAATGGGGTGAAACACATCCCAAAAATGACAATTCTGGGCGTGATTTAGCTACAGCTGGCTGAACGAGCAAGGAGAGCAGTCAACTTTTCTTCCCTTTTTTTAAAAACAAATCTAAAATGAACTTTTAGCACGTTGGGACCTGGTTTATACCAGCGTTTTCCATTTTGCTAACACCCAAAGAAGCTGGCGCTGTGAACAGCCGCGCAGAGGAAGAAAACAGCAATAGCATCGCCGGCACGCAGCATTTTTTTTTTACCAATCTTTGCTTGGAATAAGAAACCCCAACACCCAGCATTGAGCAAGGGACATGTGGGGACATGCGTGATTTATTTCCTCCACCCTTTCTTTCCTTTTTAAAGAATACTGCAGCCAGGAGAACAGTCAATTGAAAAACCCACAAACCAATACCCACTTGCCCCCCTGACTTTTCTCATGGTTTTCTAACCTCTTCCCACCAGGTTTGATCGTGCACCGGCGCAGGGATCGCAGGGCTCATGTTCAACTCGTTGCACAGGGAAATCTTGGTGCTCGGGGACTAACCCTCTGTGCATTCATCCATTTATAGAATACGCTTTCTTTGCTTTAATTCAGACGTCAACTTGCGCAGAAGCGTGCAGGAGAGCGAGGGAGAAACAGTTTTTACAAAACCAGGCTGTGACACAGCGAAGGGATGTCCGAAGCAGCAGATTTAAACCAGACTTAAACCACCAGACCCATAGATAATGCTTAACGTTGCCTAAAATTTCTCTTAAAATTTAAGAGAATGATTCACTGTAAAACTTTGGTTCATCCTAGGTTTTAGCAGTAATTTGGGGCGCTCTCCCCTTCTCCACTGAACCACAGGCAAACCCCAAAGCTCCGACGGTACAAATCAGACCAGGACACTGCGAGCGCGTCGCAGACCTTTCCCCAGCACCATTTCCCCATCAGCCAGTAATTAACACTCAATATTCTGCAAGCTGTTAATTACGCCATGCAACTCATTCCTAAAAAAACCCCAAGATTTGTGTCTGCAGGGATGGGAACAGCAATAAAACTCTCCGGCTACTTCCACACGACACCCTTAACGCGCTCCAGAAAGGAGAGATTCGCTTTCCATGGCGTCAATTTTCACTCGGACTGGGAGGATTGCTGGTACAGGGACACAGCAGTCCCACAAATGAATCAGGAATGATTTTTATTCCCCTTAAAACTTTTTTTTTTAAAGCAGCGGCAAGTCCTTCTCCCAGCTCCCACCCTTGCGTGCATGAGCAGAAATTCGGCATTTTCCCCAGCCAACTCAAACCCCTTCACTAGACCTCCAGAGATCTTTAAATTTTTCTTTTTTTTTTTTTCTCCCAAGCACATAAAATTTTACAGTGTGCTTTCCTTTCTGCAGAAGAGATGATAAAGAATAAACGCTCCTCCGGCGGCACAAATGCGTACGGATGCTTTGCTGCAGAGATGCACTCAGAGATGAGCAGACAGGAGCCGACCTTAAATCATCCATTTATTTATACTAACATCACCATAATGGATAGATAATGCACAAGCCCTGCCGGACACCAGGGAGAGGCAGGCATAGCTTTTAAAAAGGTTAATGCCGAGTGGAGTAAATTCTGCTGTCCAAATTTAAACAGGACTTGAAACTTTGCTCTATTTAACATCGATCCGGACGATGCTCTCAGGGTACGGAAGGAGCGGGAAAGAGCGATGGGAACGGGGTGGGTTTTATTCCTGAATATTTTTTTCCCCTCTGACAATGCTGCTGGAGCTCGGGGAAGGTTGTAGAGTGGCTTTGCACACAGGGAATGAGCAAACCCTTATTTATGGGGTTTAATCATTAACGTGACGCTGCTTCTGGCAGCGTCAGGCCCAGGCAATCATTAACTGCAGGAAGAAAGGACTCGGCCGGCGTTAACGCTCGGGACCAACAGGGACCGTTCAAACCACTGGATGTCAACCAGCAGCCAAAATTTGGGGGTTTGGAGCCATTTGAGGGGGTAACGCTGCTGCTGGAGGGAGAGTTTCCACTGGCAGAGCCCTGTTCCCCTCCAATGCCTGGAGAACGGGGATTCCCTTCGCACCCCACAAACCACCTCCGGCTTTACAGGCAGAAAGTTTCCTATAATAATCCAGTAAAACCAAAAGCTGAGGCTGCAGGAAAACATGCTAAACCCTCTACGGGACCAAGCCGTGCTATTAACGTGCCCTCGGCGGTACTTCGCTCGGCTCTGCGTGCAGCCAGCATACCAAGCGCCTTCAATAAAGATGCTGCTTCTTCCCCCGAGCCTGGCTCCCCGGCATATTAATTGCAAATCGCTGGCATGGCAAGCTTGACGAGCCCAGGCACCCGCCTGCCACGCAACTTTGCCAGCTTTACCTTTGCAGACGAAATTTTGCCCCCCCCAGAAGCACGGGGAGGCACCTCAGCAAGATTTGTTGGGGCTTTGGGGTCAGGAGGGGACCCCGCCGGCCCCGCGCAAGGGGAGACCCGCGCGCAAGCAGAGACGAGCCCTGCGCAAGCAGCCAGAGGGGGAAGAGAGGCTGGGGCAGCTTTTGGGGTAGGTTTCACGGTCACATAACTAGATCTGGGGCCTGGTGGAGATCTATGCAGTGATTTTGCTAAGCTGCTAGATGGAAGCGGCTTGTGCACGCTGCCTGCTCCATGCTGGGTCCCAGCTCCAACCCTCGGCCCAAGCTGGGCAGGCTGAGGTCCCTTAGCTGCACCCAGGACTGGAGGAGCCAAAAAAGTCCTCAGCAGCCCCAAAACTCATTTGGATGGAATAGGAATGGCCAGCTTGCAGCTGGAAGTGCTAAGGAGCAGCCAGCGGTTGCTGCTTCGGTGCCTGGGTTCACTGTCAACTGCTGCCTGTTGTATAAATTAATTAATGAGGCTTTTCATAGGATCCTACTGCCATTCCCTAGAGCCAGCTTAGGACTGGAAAGTGCTAATTTAAGGCTTAGCACTTCAGCCCAGGCAAGCTCAGGGCTGCAGGTATGGGATACATCCTACCCTCTCTCCAAGCCAGCGAAACGACCACACACCGCTGCCTCGCTTCATCCTTCTTCAGCCAGACAGCAACAGCACTGCCAATGTCCCTGCCAACTAATTTAACATTTCATTCCATGAAAAGCAGCTCTGCTGTCGCTCTTATCCACGCTCCTCTTGCGAGCAAGCCATGCTGAACATCCTACATGGGAAAAAGTTTTGCAGTTGAACAGCAAAATGGATTTAAAATGGCAAACTCCCTCCCCATCTCCCTCGGCTTCAGGCTGTCGGACCACATTACAGCCCCTTCACTGGTGTAGAGTTTGTTTTTACTCTGTCATACAGGGGCCACAGAAAGCAGAAATTTTACTCATCCCTGCGACTTCATTGGCAAATACTTGTGCTAATCTTAACCATTTGCAAGCTTTGATGTGGGATTTCTAAGGCTTTAATTGACCGCTTTCGCCCGTGCCTTTCAGCACTGTCATTGCGGTTGTTGCAAAACTCCACACTACAAAGAATTCCTTATTTAAAAGCACAGGGGCTTATTCTCTCATGATTTTTCTCCCCAGATATACTCTCCAGGTTCGTTTTCCCATCTTTGTGGGCCACAGCAAGTCCCAGCCCCTCCTTCCCCCAGGTCTTTCCAACTCTGCATCTGTCCTGCTGGGGGGGGAAAAAAAAATTAACGCCACGAATAAACCAAGCTTCTGGTTTCCAAATGAAATCCTACATGTTGCACTCCAAGTCCAGGCTATATTTAAGCCCCAGAT